TTTACTAGGTTTATTCATGATCTCATTTTTCTTGATTATAGTTTTCTTAATAAGGACATTTTTTGATATGTCCTGTTGTTAGGATCACTTATTATTTAGCTTATTATTTCAGCTTTAAGCATTTTTATATATAAATGAATTAGTATCATAATTTGCCATTACTTTGTCTAGCAAAAATTTTGTACATTGGAGATGTAATTTTGCATATACTGCACAAAAGATTAGTAATTTCAGTGTGAAGCAAGTTCTATTATACTTTAAAATCATTTTGTTGTTGTTGTAACAGTTTCACATGTTATGCTAAACTGTTTAATTACAGGTTCAAAATTCGACCATTTTGTGTGTTGAAGCCTCCAGATTCCGTAGAGTACTTTCAAAGGACCCCAAATCCATTGGATGCATAAAATGGAATGACGGAAACTGGACTGACTCTGGACTAGAGACTCTCATTCTGTTAGCCAGTACACACTTTCCGAACTGCACTGATGCGGTAAATGACCGACTGGTAGATCGGTTTAGTCAGCATCGTGGGGCGGAGGACGTGAGTCTGACTGAGAGGATTGTAAGCACTGCCAAGATTTTGTGGGCTATAAACTCATCCAAACCTTTCATGTCACCGGCTTGTCTGCGTCTCTCTCACATTCCATGACTGTGGAGGGAAGTTACAGTTACTTATATCCCCAAGGCTGGGAAACCAATTCATGTACTTCCGAAAGACTATGGGCCTATAAGTCTCGTTGAGCACAGCTCAGCATGCTTATATGAAAAGCAAATCTGCTATTATAGTCCTCCTACAAAACTTAATATACCACCACTCCTAGTTGAATGGATTAATGTTATGCTCAGCAGCAGAATCATCAACTCAAGCATCGGGGAGTTATCTGTTAGGAAAACGGTCACTGGGGGCACTCTGCAAAGAGGGGTTCTGTCACCACTTTTGGTGATAAATGACATTTTAATCGAGCTGGAACACGGCGGAACAAAGGTCGTGGCTTACGCTGACTATGTGGTTTTGTTGATTGCTGGGAAATTCCCGCAAACTGTTTCAGACCTTGTGCGGAAGCTCTAGATGAACTTTCCAGATGGGCACGCAAGGAGGCGGAAAATCCCAGATTTTTCGCTACCAATGCTGGATGGTGTTATGCTAAGCCTGTTTTCAGATGCCAAGTATCTCGGTACGGCCCTAGACCAGATATTTAACTGGAAGAGGAATATCGAGGAGCGAGCGAAGAGGGGCTTAATTGCACTTTACTCCTGCAAAAACTCAATAGGAAAGAGATGGGGACTTAAGCCTCATATAAGCAAATGGTTATATGAGTCAGTCCAGCCTATCCTAGCCTATGGAGGGCTAGTTTGCTGGCGCCCTCTGGGGAAAACTACCTTCCGCAAAAGCATTGATAAAGTCCATAAGTTGCATTGCTACTAATTACAGGCCCGTTTAGGAGCGCACTCCAATCCGCACTAGATACCCTACTCAACCTAAAACCCTTAAGTCTATTTGTAGAGGAACAAGCTGCTAGGTGTGACCTGCGACGCAATAAACTGGGACAATGGCGGAGTCAGTCCTTTGGACACTCCGTAATTCTCAAGTATTTGGAGTACATAGGAATTCTGGCTATAGCCAGTGATAATATATCACCTAGGCAAAGCCTTGAATTACTTGACCCTCTGGACCCGCAACATTCCACCTTGTAACGGCAGCTGTCTATGCTGATGGGTCAAAGATGGAAAGGGAGCTGGAGTCTTCTGTGAAAGCCTAAGTATCCAAAGATCCTTCAAAATAAACAACGACTGCAGCGTTTTTCAGGCAGAAATCTTTGTCAGGAAGGCCGTAGAGCTGCTGGCAAACAACTGGATGGACAGTTGACTATATATGTCGATAGTCCAGCCGCTGAGAGCACAGTGAAGCCACATTTATGCCACTTCTTCCAAGTACTGCATAAACATTATCTTGGGAGATTTCAACAGAACTGACTGACTGGAAGGGGATGTAATGTCTCCAAGAAGATTTGGCCGGTGAATTCCGAAAGGAGATCAAGGTCACTCATATCCATGACGAAGTCGGACTTGAAGCTTGTGGTGGGGCTAATTACGGGACACTGCAATATAAGGGACATGACTTCCAAGGGGGGGGGTGACGATACTGAATACTGCAGGGTTTGTCAGGACAAGGAGGAATCTGAGACGGTGGAACACTTACTCCGCCACTGCCCAACTCTTATCGGTGTGAGAGAGAGGGTAAGCAAATTCTGCCCGACTTGTTCCCCTCTCCGATACCAAGCCAGCGGTCATTCTTCAGTTAGACAGAAGGCTAAAATGGCTAAGGACGACATGCAGAATACACCGTGGATACAAACCTACTAACTTCTCTATTCCTATCTTCAAATTCTCGCTTCTTCAGAATTCGTCTCCTTCACTTTCATTATGTTATTCTTCTATCTTCTCTAAATTAGGATGAAAACAATGAACCAATGGGTCACCGAGTGAAGTGGTTGTTTGCACAACCACGTATCCTTTAACCTAACCTAAACACACACTTATATTCGCATAGCCGAACACAGACCTACTTATCGCCATATAAGAGGTCATTAAAGTCTCCTTGTCCGCATCCAAATTGCTTCCGGCTAGCGCCTTGAGGATTATGTTCCTACTTTTCATTTTGTCGTGTGGCTTGCGCGGACGACTTAAACATGCTGTCGAATGATTCTTGACATTGATGTTGATGTTCTGAACTATTCTTTTCAATATAGAAACTCACATATGCCTAACAATGATGTTCAATTGTCCAACGCACGCAGTGATGATTTTTCTTTCAGTTGTGTTGGTATGGAAGAAATTATTTTTGTACTTAATAGAATAAAGTCTAAATCTGTCGTGGTTGATGAAATACCTGTGGATTTTTTTAAATTATTTTTTCCATGTTTGTTTGTTTTGGATTTTGTTAATTCTGTTTTGATGTCGTCAGTTTTTCATTTTTTTTTTTTTTTTTGGAAGCATTCTTGTGTTGTTCCAATGCCAAAGGGGAATGTTGCTTATGACCCTAAAGATCTCAGTGTTGCAAGCAAAATATATAATGATCAATTTGCGTTCTGTCGGAATCATAATACTACTAGTTAACTTCCATTTTTCACTCTGCTGGTGAATACGGTCACGGATAACGTCACTGTAAGTCCTGAATTTATACTCGTGTCCTTTGAACGGTTCTGAGACGTTGCCTTTTCCGCAATTTGTTATTTGGTAGTTGTTGGGGTTTGTTTTATTTAAATTTTTCTTATCCATACGAATCTTGGACTTTGGAGGAGTCGAGGTCCGCCATGGCATAGCCTCCCTACCAAGGTAAGAACTTGGCATCTAAGCCTGCTACTTACAGAGGCGCCCAGCTATCAGTAAGGCAACCATTCGAGTACAGTCAGCACCCTGACTGCAAACCGAGGAACACTAATGGGCATGGTTTACGTAACACAGCATTAGAGAGTCTTTTAAATCGGTAGACCAACACCAATCACTGGTTATTTAGAGGCGCCAGCTTTTTGCCCCGTCGAACCAAGGATCGAGACTCTCCCCTGGTGTCGCTGAGCTGTCCGCGACTGCTTATTTAATTCACAGCAGCCCAATATATCTACTGGGCGTTCCACTATTCCCAGCGGACGCGACCGGTAGCATCCAGCTATGCTTCCGCGAATGTTAATCAGTGGTGTTTTGAAAATTTTTTGATTGTTGTCTACTATTGTATTGAGTATTGAGTATCTTATTTATACTATTAATTGGATTGGAGGCTTTAGTATTAAGAATGAATTGAATAATGAAAGAAAGAAACAATGTGGCCCCTAGGATCTTGGGGTAGGCTCGTGACCGGTATTATATATCCCTCGAAATTCAGCTCTGTTCTCATCTCCGCAGACCATGTGGTAAAGAGTGCGGCCGTTGATATATTCCTTATATTCTTCGCGTGGAAGTTGGCGGAAAGGGCTGCGAAATAGGTGTTTAACTTTAAGACATATGGCATTAACACCGGGGCCCGACGCCATGATCGTACAATCATCCGCGTACATAATGGACTCTATGCCGTGTGGGGGCGAGGAATGCCTGAAAAGTAGAGGTTAAACAGTTCCGCAGGTATCACCCAACCTTGTGGAACTTCCTGTTTCACTCTACGTCGTTTGGACTTTTTGAATTCCAGAATTAGGCGTCCACACATATAGTTGATTATTCAACGTTTCAAACTTGACCGGAGGGTAGTTGTCTTTACATCCTCAAACAGTGTGGTTTGGTTGACTGTACCAAATGCATTTGATAGGTAAGCAGAACCCAAAAACATCTTAATGTGAAATGTCGTTTGACAAAAGAAAATATTTTGTCTATTCTTATATTTATATAAAGGGTAAATATCAACTATCGGTATAATAACGAATTATTTTTAGTAAAATATATATATAAGCGCATTATAGTTGATTAGATAAATTGCAATGACCAAAGTCAAATCGCATAAAATTGGCGGAAATACGAGGAAAAAATGTCAGGTAAGATAGACATGGTCTCAAAAATCTATTCCAGAGCATTTCCTTGTACATTGAATCGATAAAATAACATCAACCCTTAAAAAGCGTCAGCTCTGTTGAATTATAACAATGCTATGTCACGATATCGTGACATAACATATTTTTCCACTACCAACGCCATCTATTGAAGAAAAGTAACAGTGTAATGACCCATCTTATTATATTTCATGTCTTTGCCAATTGTAATATATTGAAATATTATCCCAACAAAAATGTTGCACATAATAATCAAAATTGTAGAATATATATTGTAAATTGTGTAACAGACTCTAAAGACGATTACCGAATGTAATCAAAATAACGGATAGATAAAAATAAATAATGATTTAGAAAACATGTTTTTGTTTGATACTTTCACCAATAAAGCTTTTTGCTTTCTAAATACAGTTCATTAAAATTTTTTAATGAATAATTGTTAACAGCACTAAAGAATATACATACCAGCGGCAATGGCTGCTATGGCTTCAGAAGCAAAATGCTTGACGTCCACATCCGTGTCAGCGTTTAATTTTTCCAAGGTTGGCTTAACTTGAGTATCGATCACGCTACTATCAAGGAACGGAGAAATTTTCTGCAAGGTCTTTGCTACATTAAAGCGAACATTCGAAACAGGATCAGAGGCTAGAAGGAGAACAGTAGGCAACAGTAACTTAGTTGTAATGTCTGTGCCACAGACTTCAGCCAACATATTTAAACAAAATAGACAAGTCATTCCTAAAAAAATACACATTAACGGACAGCCTATAGGTTTTAATAAATATAATTACTATGTAAATAATTCTTATTGCGTGACATAACCAAAATCATTGGAATAATAGCTTGTTCAGCCCATTGGGCACCAAATTGCTCAACCAACTTTTTCATGTTCAGTGTAGCTGCTTCCCTTATGGCATATACATGATCGTTTAACCACCCCATACAAAGACCACGTAACTTCTGGTCAAAGAATTCCTGACCCAGTTGGCCAGCTAGGGCAGGCATATATTCGATAATGGCCAATCGTACGCGCCACTTGGAGTCTTCCGCTAATTCAACAATAGCTGGTAACAAAGACTTATAAAATAGGAAAATTAAAACAGACAGTTAATATAAATAAAAAGAATATATTACTTGAGATAGTTGTTGTATTCCAATTACGTCATTCACACAATCTAGATTAGATATTATATTCAATCGAACTTCCGGACACTCATCCTTGAGTTGTATGAGGAATAAGGGCAGAAGATGCTCCACGGTGTTATATGCCCCAAGCATAGGACTCAATCCCATTATAACAGAAGCTAAAGCCGATTTCACATGAGGATTTGGATCCGACACCAAATCGCGAACATAAGGCAGAATCGATGTCATAATAATATGCACTTGGTTAGCCTTATCAAGGTTTGCACAAAAGTCTTTGACTTTGGTTGCAACAGCAGCACGCACTTCTGCTTCAGCATCCTTTAACAAATACTACACAATACATTTAAAATAAATTATTTGCAAAAGATTGTATACAAAGTTAATAAATACTTACTTGAAATGCAGGTACCAAATCGACTCTAGTAATCTCTGGTCCTACAGCCTTTTGTAAATCTACAAACTTTTCAGCCACCATATAACGAACACGCCAAGAAGAATCACTCGCACATTGACGCAATGTAGGCAAAACCAACTATATTTTACAAATTTATCTTTGATATTTCATCCTTTCATAGCAAAAATACTTACATGTTCAACATCTTCTTGGGGTAGTAGCTGTGCAATACTCACACAAGCTTCTACGGCTAATAGACGAACCGAATCCTGAAAAATTATGTTAATGTGTTATGAAGAACATGTTAAATCCGGTCTTACCTGATCATCTTGAGCCAATTGAACAAAGTTTGGAATAAGGTCAGATTTCAAATATTCAATTTCAACCACCTTTGCGAATTCTCCCAATTTACTTGCAGCAGCACGTCTTACCATTGGAGTTTCATCCTGACATAATTTCCTGAAATTAGCACGAAGCTCTGCTTTAACTGGCTGAGATACCCGTGGATAACATACGGAGAATAAGCCACATGCCGAAGTGCGTGAAGTGAACCAATCTCCGGAAACTAAACGTTGTAATGTAGGTACTACATGTATTTCAAGGTCCTGAGCACTGTGTTCTGCTGCCACTATACGCAATGATTCAACAGCTTTATCACGAACAACAGTCTCTTCGACCGTTGCTAAACTTTCTAATGGCGGTATTAGGTACATGGCGTATTCAGGTCCTCCAACCAAACCTGTAATTATGTTAGACTGTATCTCAAAGCAAATAATTATTTTGTTACTAATTTACTAGTAAAGTTGCCAAGTTGATCAGCTAACGCCAAAAGAACCTCATCTTCGTCGTAGATTGTCTCCGTTAGAAATGGAATTAGTTCGGAACGAGTACGTTCTTCTCCAAGGGCAAGGGCAATAGTTGAAAGTTTTTTGATAGAATTCAAACGAAGCTTAAAATGAAAATACAATCGGTATTTATTGTTATTACTTAAAATAATAGGGTTATACGATTAATATAAATTTACAATTTTGTCTCGTTTTGCTTTCAGCTTAGCCTCGGCATTTTGTGTTAGCTAATTAGTTCGTGCAACATGTTTTCTTTTGTAGTTTGCCGTCCCAAACATTCCTTTTTAATTATGAAGAAACTAGCTGACCCGGACCGCTTGCTAGCCCGCAATATTAATGTTTAATGCATATTTTTAGGAACCTAATATGAGTTGTAAACGTTGATGCTGTTTTGATGTTTTCCTTGCGGTTTATTGTTGTATTATTTTCAACCCATTTCTAATAATAATATTTGTGATAAATAAATGGAGAAAATTTTGAATTTACACTTGTATATATATTTTCGATGGTTTGGAGTCTTTGTCCTCAGAATCGATAGTATTTTCTAAAATGAAGTAAAGGCACATAGTCACACAACTTTAATTTAAGTATCAAACATAAGGTGTTATCGGCTTACGACAGTTAGTGACCCCATATAGAATGTAAAAGAGTGTAATACTTTGATGAGGTATGAAAAGGTATGTATTTGTCCTCATATAGATATAGGTCTCATATAATTTTATCTCCTAATATTGCTTGTCCAAAGTTGCTCTAATTCGGCATTTGTTTTCAGTACAGTTAAATCTAGTCCTTTTACACTGGTTCCGCCCATATAACATGCCGATTTGAGGCATTTTGAGGGATTCAATAGCATCCTTTGTCAAAAAAAAAAATAGCAAAAAAAGTCCACTTAATGATTTATTTCCTATTCAACAGTACCTTTTTATATTGGTTATATCATAGTATTTAATTACATTTTCAAACCTCAATTTTTAGTATTATTCAAAGGGTTTAGCAACATTTGAAAAAACAAAAGTAATTTTGTAACTTTTAGAAGACCATGTTGTATGGTATTTAGTTTTATCAACGTCATGTATTCTAAAACCTTTACATAATATTCCTAGGGTGATTGGAATATATACGTCTCATTCGTCCTTCTGCGTGTTTTCAAAAACATTTCTTCCGTAAAATCTTTCCACTGTAATTAGAAATAACCGAAAAAATTGTGTAAAATCGTCCCAGCCGTTTTTAATTGATGTGTTGCTATTTATGTACACTATTTTTATACATATAGATTTAAAGGCGTGGCTAGTTCCTCTGATGCTTAGGGTTGGAGGGAGTGTCAACAGTACCTCATATATTAACATTCAAGCAGATATCTTTATTATTTTGGTAAATATATGGATTTTAAGTAAATCGAAAAATGGAAGTAAAAGTGGGCGTGGTCTTGGCATAAAAAATAACTCGGGGCATGACGAACATTTATAAAAAATTTTCCAAATCGGTCCAGCCATTTCATCTGTCTCAATTAAAAATATTGTAACTTGCAACAAAAAAAAAAGGCCCAATATAAGGTAGAAAAGTAAGACCAGCTGATACCTTAATTTAACAACAGTAAAATGTAGAATATGCAGCTACCAGCAGCGCTCAAAGCAGTCAAATCCAGTATAAGAAGTAGTAAAATGATATAAATATCCAAATAAAGTCCTGTCTTACGAAAATTAAGGTGGATGTGTTGAAGTGTAATGAACGATGCCTTCGTAGCAGAAAGTAATCTTTTGCACCGTAGACTGACAGAATGTGTGTTATTGGCTTGCTACATAAACAAAAAGAAACAGAATCTAGTTAGTCTTAACTGTGCTCATCTTCGGGATGAAAATATGAGGCAATCTGCCCTATTACGGTTATCGTCGTCGTCACAAAATGAAGTCGAGGCGACAATAATGATATTAGGGTTGCCGTTTTTTGTCGATAGCGACAAATGATTGCAATTATCATTGTCGATACAACAGTCGACATGAAGTCGAATTTTGAGAATAGCTATTGCCGTAAAAAATTGTGACAACATTGTATTTTTGGGTCGACGTTGATATTCAGAGCTGTCATAGAAACCAACTTTGTCACTATTAGTTTTAAAAACGATAAGAAAAAATGATTTGGTGTCATGAAAATCAATGTTATTGGTTTTATTTTCGAATTAGAATTTTATCGGTTTTGGTTGTCATAGAAGCCAATGTTATTGGTTTTGTTATTGGAAATAAACTAAGTTGCTTAGAGCTGTCACTTTTCATTTGCTTTGGATTTTTTAAACAATTTTTTAAGGACTAAAAACGTGGATTTTTTAGGGATATTCAAAGGACTAAAAATATGGATTTTTTAAAGAATTTTTAAAGGATATTTAAAGGACTATAGGCTTGGATTTTTTAAAGAATTTTTAAAGTGGGATTTTTTAAAGATTTTTTAAAGGACTATAAACGTGGATTTTTTAAAGGACTATAAACGTGGATTTTTTAAAGATTTTTAAAGGACTATAAACGCGGATTTTTTAAAGATTTTTTAAAGGACTATAAACGCGGATTTTTTAAAGATTTTTTAAAGGACTATAAACGCGGATTTTTTAAAGGACTACAAGCGCGGATTTTTTAAAGATTTTTTAAAGGACTATAAACGTGGATTTTTTAAAGGACTATAAACGTGGATTTTTTAAAGATTTTTTAAGGGATATTTAAAGGACCATAAACGTGGATTTTTTAAAGAATTTTTAAAGGACCATAAACCATAAATCTGCAATGCAGCTTTATGAGTAAGTTCACAATAAAAAAATTACTTACTCTATCTCCTTCAACTCCAGTGGGTTGCTGAAATCTCTAAGAGTTTTTCTCGTCACCTTTTCTGAGCGTTCTTCGTCCAACAACACAAAAACTACCACTGCTGATGCCATCTTACTTTATTTATAGCGACTTATTCCTTTTTTTATTTACTTTACTTTTACTGGTATTTCAATGACAAATAAACAGACAACACATGTAAGCAACAACAGCTGTTTCGAACATTGGTTTTATTTACATTCGAAATTGACAAAACCAACTTGGTTTCATGACACCAAATGAAACCAACATTGGTTTACAAAAACGACAATAAGCAAAAACCGACATGGTTTCTGTGACAGCCCTGATTGTAACCATTTTGTATTAGATATTTGACCATGAAAAAAACAATAGCAAAACAATATGGAATGTTGGTTTACGAATTAAAACAAAACCATGTTTGGCAAAAGGGTTTACCAAGGGTAAAGGTACCAGATTAGGTATCCATTGCTACAAAATTAAATGTAAACGGGCCTCCGATTAGAGACACCGATGGCTGGAAAATAGTTTGCTAAAATTTTAATAATTTTAACATAAAATTATTTTTGTATATTTTTATTAGTTAGTTTTTTAAAATTCTTCTAGGTTTGGAAAGATTTAAAATTTAAAACCAAAAAATTGTGCAGAATAAGGGTAAAGCCAACAGCACTGGAGGTGGTATTTTTATTCAAATGACTTTGTCGCTTTGGGAGGAGTCTGTCGCGAATGTAATGAAGTTTCAAAAGTTGCAGAATCCAACAGGTCGTGCACTTGGAATAGAAAATACGGAAAACATAAGTGTAACAGACGTTATAGTTCATAACGTTATAGCAAGTGGACAATGCTGATGACGAGGCTGATGTAACTACTATTAAAGCTTCTCGATCTCCCAGAAAAAAACAATGGTAAAGTCATCAAGGAAAGTATACACTATTGAGCTCTTGAAAGAGCGGCATAAACTTTTGGAATAAAACAATCAAGAGCACTCGCCGCTGCACTGCTAATACATTCTCCTCTTCATCCTCGCTTGAACTTAAGATGTTTAACGCATTTCATTTTTTCTTTCATTTTTTTTTTCACTATATTTTTTATTTTTCCGAAAGAGTCGAAATTAAATTTCAAAATACACAAAAAATTCTATTTTTTTGTCAATAATAAGGGAATGTTGCCAACTTTTATTTTGAACTGTCGATGTCGCTCCTATGCCTTACCGTAATACCATTTATGAATCGAAGCGACGGCGAGTGCAACGACCTTAATTGGGCCGAATATTATAATGAAATATAGAATCATAAATGGTGATAAAGCTAAAACCAAAATTGTACCGGCTGCTGGTAAAGAAATTGAAGGAGATTTAAAAGGTTGCAATTTGCTGCTAACGAATCGAGATGTATCTGCAATTTACATTTTTTTGTTCGGGATACCGTAGTTATTTTGTTGTTGCAAAATCGTTAGTTAATCACATGATTGCTGTTCTTATAAAAATAATGTTTGTTTATCATTTCATTTATTTCATACAATTCAATATACGCATACGTTATATTTCTTATCCTTATATAATTACCAATGCGATGTTTTGAAAAGTTAATTTAATCTAGGTTAAAGAGTATTATTCATTACCTCGTATGTCTCAATATTTGATCTCATCTCTCTATCTCTCTTAAGTTGACGTCGACGTATTTCGGTTCAACTTCGCCAAAACGCCATAAAAGCTGGTATCTTACACCCAAACCATTCGAAATCGGCATTGCCGATTTGTCAGGTGAGACTACTCGGAACGAAACAAAGTTAAGTAAAGTAAAATTTTTTTTTTTTTTTCGTTCGGTCCCAACGCCACTCTTACCCGCCCCTGCCGACCGAGGGGGCCACCTCCCAATACGTAGGGAGCGCGTACACCCCATAGTCCGCACCATGGAGGGTTAGTATTGTAGGGAAACACCAGCTACAGTAAAACATCAGCCGGTTTTAGTAAAAGAATTAGTATTACAAATCACACACAACGAGCAAAAATACAAATCTGGCAGCTCCTAATACTATAATTATAAATTAAGTATTGATATTTTTATTGCATGCAAAGGTTCAGATAGTGATAAATTATTATAGAGGTTGTTATATATTTCACATAAAGATCTAAGTGGGTTGCTTAGTTCGTAGTTAGATCTCGCCAAGGAAAGATTTAGCGGTATATAATTACGAGTTATTCTAGACGGAACATTAAACTTTATTTCACTAATTAAAAATTGTGAATCAATTTGACCACGCAAAAGTCGTATTAAAAA